GTCCTCGTGCTCCAGATGGCCAAACCCCCCTCCGAAGCCCCACTCCTCCGCCGAATACTCGCGAAGCTCAAAAGCTCCCACCCGGCCCTCGCCACCAAGCTCCACCACGACCCGGCCGCGAACGAGTGGTCGTTCGTCGAGCCCACCGGCCCGCACCACGTCGAGGTCAAGGTCCACGACCTCCAATCGACCTCGGCCCTACTCAAATCCCTCTCGGCCAAGAAAAATTCCAACAGCGCCCTCACCCCTTGTCACCTTCTCCTCGAACGCGAGATGAACGATGAAGGCTCGTGGTCCGACCCCGGCGTGTTCCCTCTCGAGGGCATTAACGTCATTTGCGCCGGCGTGTACGCGCTTTCGGAGGCGAAATGCGCGATCGTCCTACGTCTGCATGCCTCAGTGTGCGACCGGACGACGGCCGTGTCGCTGCTGAGGGAGCTGATGGAGCTCACGGCCGAGGCCGACGGGGTCGCGGGCAAGGGGACGGGCACGGGATTAAGTAACGATGGGGAGGGTAAAATGGGAATCGAGGGTATGATACCTGCCGGGAAGGCGAAAAAGACGATATGGGCGCACGGGGTCGACATGTTGGGGTACAGCGTGAACTCGTTCAGGCTCAGTAATCTGAAGTTCAAAGACACCAAGCTGCCGAGATTTTCGGAGGTCGTGAGAATGCAGATGGACGCGCGGCAAACAGCGGGGATTTTTGCTGTAAGTGGTTTTTTTATTTTTTTTTTCTATTATTATTTTTATTTTATTTTTTATCCTGTACTATTGGAATTTAACTACAACTTTTTTTCTGCAATAATGAAGTGAATGTGTGTGTGCATTGAATTGTTTTTCCAGCTACCTGGTGCTGTATTTAATTAAAAATGTCTATCCAAAAATCGGGAGATTCTACGGTCCGGTTACAGAACTATTTCGTCCGAATTTGTAACCGTTAGATCAACTATCCCCACGGTTATATGATGATCTAACGGTTATATGATGATCTAACGGTTATAAACCCCGACTGTGGTTCTATAATGAGAGTGTAGCATTTACCCCAAATATCAATTTGAAATAAATAGATTGAACAAACAGTAGGTGTACAGTGTACTATTTACTGGTCCAGACTAAGGAACAGAACTTATATTCCAAAATGGTATTTGATCTTTATTAATGTGTATGGAAATTGGAAATCTCTGTATTTATTTATTTATTTTTTGCATAATGTTTGTGCAATTTGAATGTTTGAACCGACCCATCGCCATTATATCGCAATCGATATCGATATATCCGTTTCGAAGATGGTAAAAAATGATCTTCGGT